CTATTATTTAAAAAACTGTTAAATCGCCAGTGCAATTTGTATCAGAGATCGTACTGACGAGTAGGTGCGCTGTCACTATTTCATTCTTAACATCTTTTTTATGTTTGAATTAACTCATCTGCTTTTTTGGAGCGAACACGTAATGCTGACGTTATTTTGTGAAAACAACCGCAACAACAAAAGGCGGATGATGTAATAAGCAGGGTTTCCGGCTCAGTACAGAACAATGGCTCATCTAACATCTCCGTATAACTTATTCTACTAAGTATACGTAATCGCATATTTCCCCGGAAAATTAAAGACTGCTAGTTTTAAGAAGTTGAAGACATTACAAGAGTAGCACTGATAATAACCAATAAACTTCAATTGGCAATTGCCAAAATTAATGATAAATACCCTGTCTCAGCCAATCTGCAGGTAGCTATGTAGCTCTCTGTTATAAATTCAGAAAATGTTCTTAAGTCACCATAACCAAGCTTCGACGAGCAGATTGTTTTTCTTTGTCCCAAAACTTCCTACCTCACGTGGTGTTATTAGTCACCCTCAGAGGATTACATAGATGTATCAAGGGACCCACGCAATGTGTTTTTAACAGAAGCCCAACATTTCATATTAGTTACTATTCTTTTTCTACAATTGGTGTCACTTGAAGGCGTTGTTTCTCTTCTAAAAAGTGGTCAGCTACATGTCGGGTCAGAAAGTGGACTTCCTTCATGGAAACATCTTAGTTTTTGCATACTTTGCTACGAAATTTTTTTACGGAGGAACTAATATCGTCTCTCATTCGTCTCGAAGTGGTGTTCAGGATGACCGAGTCAAGCAATTTTCCGAGCGCTTTATACCAAAATTGTGTAACTTCTGTCTTCAGTCTTGAATTTGAAAAACAAAAAGATAAAAGGGCGAATACCCGGTTTCGAAATTTTAAAAATCGTACATGTATTTATTTCAAAAGTTTTATAAACCAAAAACTGTACTTCGATTAACAAATCTTACATCCTTTCTTAAAGCTGGGATACGGTGGACGGCAATAATTCATTGCCACACGACGCTTAAGGGACAAATCGCCAACACATTTGATTTCGCTTCGTGGAACAAGGAGAATTAAGCGAATTAATTCCTCGTCTTGGCAACAGAAAGTCGTCCCGGAATAAATCGCAAAATTCAATCCTGGTTTGAATTCAAGCCACGTTTCTAGCAATAAAATGAGCCGCAATAATTGTTTAAGACGCACTCGAAGCGGTTTTGTCATAGAAACTCGTTCGAACGAACTTTCGCCCTGTGTTTCCCAGCCTTAAAATGTGCTATCACGGGTCTAAAGCAGTACACTTCCAATAGAAAAAGGCTTTTAGAATTCAAATTCTAAGAGCATTGCGCTGAATTGTTTCATAACGCTGCCAAATCTTGGTTTATGGAAAAAAATCACTTCTTGACTTCAGCAAAAAGAACACAGCCAGCAGTTGACTTCAAACAACTGCAAACTAAAAAGCGCTGAGAACCACAAACAAGTCTTACAAGTCCATGATACTCGTCATTTGGTATTTTACGTCAGAGAGCTTTTGACACTGCAGGTTTTTGGGGAACACCTTTCGGACCAGTGCAATTTGTACCTTTGACAAACGTACAGCGTGCGTGTTTTCCATTGCCTCACAACAAATCGCAAATCCTTTGTTTGGGAAGGCACTCTCGCATTTTGTCCTTACCAACGAAGCAGGACTGATAACAGTACTTGAAGGGCGTGGCCACATCCTCGGTTAGTTTGTCATGTCGCTGTTATTTGGATCATCGCAGAAGCTTTTTATCTCACTCTCTTAACCAATAACTAGTTTTTAACACAAACTAATGCCTCCAGAAAGCCGGGAATAAGTCCACTTAGCATAAAAATGACTGGTGTATTTTTTTACGCAAGCCCAAAGCCGGTTGAGTACTCTACTGCTTGGCTCAGTTTTGTTGACATCATTTGTCTTGTTGGGTATCTCGGTAAATCCAGCAGATTGAAGCACGTGTGAGCCACAGGAAGGTGATCTCCATGTTTTCCTCCAGCAACGGGCTGAATTATAATCTGTTTAAAAAAACGCATAACGAGGATTCCAGACTTAGGATCACTAACTTTGTTTGACTCTAAAACTCGTGAAGTTAGTCTTCTAAAAGGGTCCTATGAGAGTAAAGTGATATCAATTATCTCAAGCATTGTGATTGCTGAGCTCAATTCTACTTGGTCAGCAGACTTCGTTTAAGTATTTCAGCATATCACACTTTCAAGCTATTTTCTGATGGCCTTGATAGTAATGAACTCCACGACCCTAGCAAAGCAATCATGGAATTATTACGAGGCTAGTTATACCTTCATGGATTTCATTCCTAAAATTGGTACTCTGTCACTTCCGGTTAGGAAAGCTGAAGGATAAAATTCAAATAGACGTTTTAAAACACTTTTTCTCTTTATTGTAACTCATAGTGAGAACGTGCTCTATGATGCTCAATTCAGCGGGCCATATTTCGCTGAAAGGCCCGCTAAACTCAAAAGTTTGTTTACTCTAGTTTGAGCACTCTGGCATGGCTTAGACGATACCACAAAGGTTGGGTCGTTTGGGGTGACCGTCTCGGTTCCCCCCCATCCTAGCATTAGCACTGCACTGATGAGGCCCAGAAGGCCGAAACAGTACTGTCTGCAGTTAGTTATATATATATATATATATATATTTCTCTTCAGTCTCAGCTTAGTGATATATTGCTTATATGATGGGGACAGATTGGAGTACACAAGAAAATCTAAAACAATCACCACGTCCCTGTTTATCTGCTCATCAAATTGGTCACTCTCTTCTTTACTTTCTTGTTACCGTCTCTTTCAGAGACTAAATTTATTGGTCAATCTTGTAAAAGAACGGAAACCAATCCCGTGCCGTGTCTTTATGTAATCTGACAGCTAAGTCTCCCTGATACACAAACTTACCTAGGAACTTTTTCTTCATTTTGAATGGAAAGTCAAAGAAAACTCCCCAGAAATTTCTTATGACAGAGTGGTCCCTGTAATACTCTCCCTTGTACACCGCTACCTGAAAAGAAAAGAAAAAAAAAAGGAAATGAAATACACAAAGGATTAGCTCGGGTGATCCAGAAATGGGGCCGAATACATGCATAACCCGCAGTAAACACATACACCCTTACAGTAATTCGTGGGGCGAGGGGAACACGCCACTCGGCGAAACGCTGTGAGTGGAGTGGAAAAGATTGAATTGAATGCATTGTCACAAAGGTTTTCATCTAACTTTAAAAAAAACTTCCCCGTGTCCTTTGAACTACACTTCAACCCCTTTTCTTTTAGGTATGTTTTCTCACCTTTTCGAGTTCTCTGAAGTCATAATCTTGACATCCCACCACCATCTGCATGAGCTCCTCCGGATGAAAAAACTCCTATAACGATCAGAAATTTGTCAAAAAAGTGACACAAAAAAGCCTTTCCTGTATGTCATGCTAAACTAAATCAATATCCACACTGAGCCAGATGATTTCTAACACGCGCTTTGTTATTATAAAATAACTGAGATATTACGAGTATTTTGATTGGTTGAAAACTGAGGTTTATTTCATAAAAGCAACAGAACGCACTTTCTACTTCGTAATTACCCACTTGGGATGTGGGGAGAATACTCACCTCCCACTTGTGATTTACAAACTTTTCTCGTGTTCCCAGCATCCCGCGTGGGTTATTGCGCCGGAAATCCGAGAGTGAGTGTAGCCTATTGCTTAAATATGCGGGAAAAAATGGTCTTAACAGAGCAGCAATTTGCACTCACCATGACTTTTCCACCACACACGCGGTGAAATCCTGTACAAAAAGCCTCGAACTGTTTCTCGACAGACTTGTTCAAATAGTAATCGATATACACATCCACATACTGCTCTCTGGACAGAGGAAAAAGAAACAAACCAAATCAAATGATGCTAAACATGTGCACTGGCCGCGTCAGAAAAAAAAAAAAAAGAAAAACAAACATGACACCATGCAGCATATCTTGCAATAACAAGAAAAGACAATTTGACAGACTACAATTCGTAACATTGAACCAAATTACATTAACTGTTTAATAAAAGTGCATGATACACCATGATGGGAAAATGGGATGGGTATCGAAAGGGAAGGATGATCTTTTTCTCATGTAACACAATGCATTAACCTTAAATCCTTGCGAACAGTTTTCAAGTTTTTAAAAATGTCCATGTATTCTGGCGTTGAACTTTGCAGTCAAATGTTTCTCCAAATCTCTTCTTACAATTTAACGTTAGTATGCATATTCTCCAAACTGTTCTATATATACATTTCCTAAAGAGCTGAAAACGATAATTTGTTTTATAATCAAGAGCTTCTTTAATTGGTGATCATTTCCTTTACTTTGGTGACCTTAATTCAGGAGGAATATTGTCAGTAGAAATTAGATGCTATTTACTCATAGGGTTGGCGGTCTAGTCATCATTTTATACCTGTTTTCGAGATTGACTGGAGTGTTTCCTCCGTCTGGAATCAAATCTATGTATTCTAATGTTCCGTACTTCTCGCGTACAACCTGAGCATAAAAATTAAAAAAGCAGCTCATTATGCTCCACTTCCTGTCGCGCGGTTGGCTGGTCAAAAAAACGTATTTTTAATATATATCTTTTAAGTCGTCATTAGCCAATGAGAACGGCTCAAAGTGAAAACAAGTAAACTCCGTGGGAAACGTCGAACGAAAAAGCCGCCATTGTTAGGGTTCACCTTGTGAATGAGTTAGGGTAATCGCTAAAGGGATGATAGAGTGTTACGTAACTGACACTTGTAAAAACATTTAGGGAAATAGAAGAAGTCGAACAAACTTGTTAAGAATGGGGTAAGGAGAAACAGCATCCCCAACACGCAACCCAAACTAAATCAACTTGCCTGAAAATTGAGTCCAACCGTTTCCGCCAGGTCGCCATCTGCTTCATCGTACTCCAACAAATACTCAAGATTCCTGTCAATCAGTCGTGAAAATCTTTATCGTTACTGCTCACAACTTAAGTAATCACATGAGAAACAGAATGCGCACACTGACACTAGTATTTGGCTGACGAAAAAAAAAGGAACCTTTGCATTCAGCACACGTGCGCTAGCTACAGCATAACACATCAACACGATATAGTTTTAACGCACTGCATTGTGTGTAATCTCTGCATCGATGTAAAAACAACTCAGTGGCATGAAAAGTTTGCCTATTTTCTATTCGCCGGGTTTCCGAATTTTCGTAATTCGCCTGAGAAAATTCTAATGGTTTGAGATAACTGAAATTTCTAGCTGCCGGGAAAAAAATTTGAAGGTTTTCTGTTTAAGCTGAATATTATCACGAAAGGAAACCCAATATTCTCAAATTTTCATATGTTCATACTTCTGTTCATTATCACGAAAGGAAACCCAATATTCTTCAATTTTCATATGTGCATATTTCTGTCCATTGGCTTCGGCTGATAATAGTGGCTGAGCGTATGAGCGCTGCTGCTCGATGTTTTAATACCTTTACCCCTCGGGGTACATCTTTGTGGAAATTTACTTTAGCCTACAAGGTAATGTAATTACTTGGCAACTGCAGGTTTATAACCTCTGAAGTCATCAAGAGTCGGTTTCCTGAGAGGAAAGAGGAAAGAAAAAGTGTAATTTTTTTCTGGTTATGTAACACACAACAGAGGTCTACAAAACTCAACCACTGTGGGGAAGTTGTCAAGACAAATAATTGCACCACTACCTCAGAATTTATACACAAAGAAATGTGTGAAAGTCAAAAAGGAAATTGTAACATAATCAAAGTAAAGCGCGTTCTGATTGGTCAACCCAGTATCCACCATTTGCCCATGGGCATACGCGGCTGCCGTGAGCAAATGCGAAGACTAGTTTTCGCGCGCTTGTTTTTTCTGGTCACGGAAGATTTTTTAAATAATAGGGAACTCTTTCGCTACAATGTATCAACGTTATGTTATAAACCAAATGGCAAACACCACAACGCACACTATTGAGTTATGGATGCACTTGGGAGGTTTGTTAAGCACTCAAGAAGCTGGAGTCGCTCTCGGCCATCGCCTCGCGTGACTCTTACTCTTCTTTCGTGCTTACTAACCTCCCGCTAACATCCACAACTCAATAGTGTACGCTGTGGTTTTTACCATTTGCTAAATAAAAGATAGGTTTAACCTCGGCTGTAAAAATTTATGCCAAAGTTTTTATGAATACGATAAGCATTCTAAAACACATGCATGGAAAGACTGACTGACTACAAAGCAATCTTTCTGGGCCCTTGATTGGGCATGGCCTTACACTGTGCTACTAGAAGCATGTTTAACAAGTGTTTGAAGTGTTTCTTCATGAAAGGGATAAGAACAATTAAAAAGGCGTTGGAAGTTAAACAGAGCGTAATTGTGTCCACCTGTTGCAACAGGAAGAAACAAAATTAGACTTCGAAATTTTTACCATGATAAAGACCTCTATCAGACAATAATAGTGTTCCGCAAAACGTTTCAACAAAGGCTGAAATAATTCTTTTGAAACTTTAAGAGTTTGGTATAAAAAGCACAGCCAAAAGGTTTTAGATTGTGTGCAAAAATTCTTTTTATAAACGCAGCCTCTACAACCACTTTGTTTCTTTGTCGAGGTTGATTTTTGTTTGTTTTTTTTCCCTATAATCTACTGAGAAAGATTGCAGAAAGCGATTGAGAAGGATCGCGAGCATGAACTTAGAGAGGTGAAAATGAATGATAAGCCTTGCCCCCCAAACCCACCCCTTTGCGATCGTATTCAATAAATCCCCCGCGGAGCCTACATCACTGGTACCGCAGCGTAAGATCTGAACATGCTAGATGTGTCGAAACTACTGCATTCTTATGATCGCTTAACCCTTTACCTAACTCCCATGATCTGAATGTTGATTATCGACTCGAGCTACTACGCATTTCCTTGTAAATTTGTTACGAGAATTTGGTGTGAGATCATGATAACAACTTCAAGTCTACCTGATGAGTTAGAGTAGTAATCTCATTTTTTGTTTGCTGTAGAATGTATTGATATCGCAAGAAGTTACTTGTTAATCACTTCTGGGAGTTACAGGGTTTAAATGACAATGACAACACACAGTGCCTTCAATGAACCGAGCACAGCGCTATTCTTACCTGCCTAAAAGTTTCTTATACAACACGGGAGGAAATCTGAGGTCGATGATAGTAGAGTTATAGATGGCCAGTCCACAGATGACACCAATCAACAGAAACATTGGACTCTCTTCAAATGACTACAACAACATAGTGAAGCAATCAGTAAACTATATGATTTGAATGAGCGGGAGAATCAGTAGTGTACCACCTAGCAAAGTCTTGGTTAACAAGTCTTAGCAACAATACCACTGGAACATTACTTTAGCGTTAACAAGAGCAATACAGAGCGATATGGTAGTCACAAACTGTCGACTCTATCACTCTCTTTTGACTGCAAGAATAATTAATTAAGAATCATCATCAAGCGCCCCCACCCTCTCCTCCCCTCCCTAAAAGAGGTGACGCCATGCGGGTCTGAATTCAAAGATAACATTGGGTCACCAACATTCCTTAGTAAAGAGTTTCTGTAAGAAACCTACCAAATCACTAAACCAAATGGTCTGAGACTCTTCAATGTAGGTAAACATGCCATATTTGGGGTCCAAGATCTCCGTCAAAAGCAGCAAGAAAAATTCCTAAACAAAGCGGAATTTGACTATGAGATAGACAAATTCTAGAAAAACACTACAATACAAACACTACAATAAAAACACTACAATACTGTAATAATACTAAAGTGGAAGCCACTGCAACGAACACTTTCACTGAACCCCGTTTGAACCTCATAGACACTCTGTATTTTTACATTTTTCCAAGCGGCCCCAGAAGCTTTGAAACGTTTTTCTCTTGTTGTTGTTAAACTCCTTTAGGCAGACAACCGGATATTCAACACCCAACCAGGACTTTAACTCAATTTAATAAATCATTTTGATATTGTTCTACAACACAGTGATCTCAAGGTGCATCGATCAACACCTGCCACTTCAGTATTCGTGTTATCGTCAGACAAATGAGGTTTGAAACATAACCTAGCGAAGCAAGTTCCTCTAAAAAGGTCACCTTTCACTTATAACTCTGTTCTAGTGTCCACTTACAATGATCATTATGTACCAAACATTCTAGTGTCTACTTACAATAACCATGATGTACCAAACATTTGAGGATAGTGTTTGTTCATAAAAGTGCTAGGACGCCTCACCTTTCTTACACCACCAGCATCAACACCCTCTTCACCATGAAACACGACCTGCCAAAAAACCAAAACGGTGGAGCGATGTTACCCTGGCCAAGGCGTCCAGTTAGTAAAACGGAGTGAAATGGTAAACGGCGAGATGCCGGTAGCTGTGTGAAAACGAGGGAGATTTGGGTCGAGTTGCGTTCATTACGCGACCCGACCCGAATCTCTGGATGTTTTTTTTTTTTTTTTTTTTTTTCACTCCAATGCTATTATTGCGCCGTTGACTATAACGCTTCGTTTTAGTAACTGAGCGCTGGGAAAATGCAAAGGTACTCTTCATCGTTTTTTCATGACTTCCTTGCGAAAACAACTCTAGCGGTTTTACGATTATATCCATTGTTGTAAGAGCCAGCCAAATGCTTCAGTTTTAGAGGTGGAGGTGAGGAAACAAACGATCTTCGCCTCATTCGCTTCGGTAAGCTATGCACGTGCACGTAACTCGAGAATAAACTAAGAGTTTGCAGAAAGTTAATTTTGAATTTTAAATTTTAAATCAAGTTGGTTAGACAAAGTAATGAAAAATTACTCCTAAACATTCTATGGTTTAAGATGATCGAAAAATCCCACAACCTACGGGGCGGAGCCATAAAGCATTGAAAATTCATTTGCCCCGCGTCCGAAAAAACAAGCAAAGAAACAAACAAACAAACAAAAAACGGGCCTCAGTTGTTCGAGGGGAGGATGAACGCCACAGAATGTTCTCTCAGCCCTTTGGAATAGCAATAAACCTGCTAAATAACATTAACCAACAACAAAGTTAGTTGTACAGTACCGCACCATACCTTGAGAGGTTTCTTCAAGTCATAAGGACCACATTTCATGATCTGTGCTAGAGTGTCACTGACGATGCTGTCCCTTTTCACTACAATCACAAGTATTGGGTTCACTGGATCAATAGGCAGCTGTTGCATCAGCATCCTCACATTGCGACGATTTACTTCTTCCACAGCGCTCTACAATTATTGCAAAAAGATGATACAGCTGACTCTTTCAACCAAAACAAATAAAAAATAAATAAATAAAAAAACAATAACAATAATAATAATAAAGAAAAGTGGAAAAACAAAGCATTGCATGGCCAGTATCCAAAGATCCTTGAGAAGCCTCATGTTGACAAAGTCACCACCAACAAATGGTTGTCAAGTAATCTGAAAGGAGAAACAGAGGGACTACTTGTAGCAGCTCAAGACCAGGCAATAAACACCAGAAACTACCAGAAAGTAATATGTGGCCAGCAAGTGGTGAGCAAATACAGAATGTGTTCGCAACATGAAGAGACAGTGGACCATATTGTATCTGGATGTGAGGTATTAGCCAAAACAGAGTACATCTCCAAGCACAATAATGCTGCAACATATCTCCATTGGAACATCTGTAAAGATCATGACATAGAGATTACAGACAAATGGTACAAACACGTGCCAGAGGCCGTGATGCACAACAAAGATAACAACATCATAGTCATGTGGGACATGCCTGTCAATACTGATAGAACTATAACAGCGAACAGACTAGATATCATTGTCAAAGATTCAGTGAATTCCACCTGCAAACCGATTGATATGACTGTTCCATCAGATAGAAACATTGCACTGAAGGAAACTGGAAAAAAAAAAGCAAGTACAAGGACCTAGAACTAGAAATACAGAGAATGTCGCATATGAAAACTGTAGTGATCCCTGTGGTTGTTGGTGCGCTTGGTAGAGTGAAGAAGGGTATGGTAGAAAACATCAAGAAAGTATCAGAGAAAGTGACTATGACAGAGATTCAAAAGATCCGCATGCTGGGATCGGCGCGAATCCTTAGAAAGTTGCTCAGTGTATGAACAGAATGATTGATTTAGTGACTGACGCTCCAGGTGCATGGTTTGCGCCCGGCTGATACACAAAAAGAACACCAGCGAAGACTGTGATAAAATAGTGGGAATGAAAAGTTCCTGAATATTATACTGAATTCACGTGAGAGATTGAGTCTGCATAAAGGTACGTTTCTTATTCCATTATTACGCCATTTTACCATGTTAAGGCAATGGAACACGCCACATACGCCACAGTGTTGCATAGAAAAGGGGGAAAATACGGACGGAAAGCGGAGCTACAAAATGGCCATAATGAACGATTCAAACTTTGATTTCTTTCCCACTTTTAGACATGAATTTTTCAGCTTCGAACTTTTAAGCCCAAGAGACTTGGTTTCGTTTGCGTTGTTTTCGTCTTTCGCAGGCGCCTTTTGCGATCGGTACGATGCTCAGATTAGGCCGTACGAAGTTTGGAAAACTAGACCCAAAAACACTAAAGAATAAAATAATGGCGGAATATTGAGGTGTATTTGTTGTACCACTAAGTCTAAAATGGTTACTTCTTAACCTACTTGCATCTGCATGACAGCATCTGTTTGAAGCAGCGTAGTCTTAGCTTCCGCATCAAATACAAATGGAAACTGACAGAAAGAAAATCTTTGCTAGAAGAGATGTAACAATAGTGAATCAGTTCGTCATACCATAGACTATTCATTTCAATCTCGTTATGTTAATTGGGAGAATGATTTGCAAAGCTTATGAAGACACTACCTCAAGCTACCAGGTGAACGACATCAAAAAAGAAGAACGCTCCAAGAAACCAAATGATTGTTGACTGAACCGTCAAGATCGATATATCAACTCATGTTGCTGACTAAGTTTCTGACATTCCACATGGTAGCCTAACTTTAAGAAAATCATCTTCAAATGTGCCAAAACTTCGGCTACATACACCACCGTGTTAGCAACCTTTATCCGTAGCTCCATTTTCTGCCTTTAAAAGCACACACAACCCACAATTCCTCTATTCGCTCCGACGAAGGGCTAACGCTCGAAACGTCAGCTTTTGTAATCGTTACGGTGAACAATTTACCATTTCCACTTTGTTGACATATCCAAATTATTTCGTTACCCCCACCGACGCAGCCCCAAACAGTTTCTTTAGAAACTATCAGCCTTTACCCATGCAGGTCAAGTAGTTTCTCTTCTCTATGTCTAATATATTAACAATCTCTTTGAATAATTAGGAGCTACACCGCTTTGGTCCGCGGTCAAGTTTCGGTGTTGTGTTAGCGACATCCCCTAAAAACTTTTAGTTCATTCGAAGACAGTTTTCGAATGGTTGTTGACCAATTGGAATCTCAGAACGCAGTACATCATGATAGTAACATTAACATAAATCTTTTAGGAAAGAGAAAGAGATCATATGGTTTCTGGAGCACGCTTCTCCTCTAAAGTTTTGAGCAAACTCGGATTTCAAGTTTGGAAAATCAAGGCGTACCCCATCATAAAGGTGGCGCCAAAATTCTTGAGGGTTAGTCACAGTCTAAACAAAAGCAGAAGCAGGTGAAGCATATTTATCATTTTTGTGTGTGAGTGTGTTTAGCAATGGGAGCTGTATGCGCTGGTTTATCCTGTAAAGATGATATCAAATAGTTCTTTTGCAATCTGTGTAGGAACGCTAACTACTTATTGACTTTGCCCAAAACGCTCCAACAAAGTGAAGATTATGAATTTACTAAATAGACGTTTTAGTGTTCAGTAAGTGAAGGAAATGTACTTTTATGGATTACCTCAGTTTTAAAATATGCACTTGAGTATATACTGTGACTAGCCATGAAAAACAATCAATCACAGCAATGCATACTGCACTTTTTCAATTGAGTGTCGTAAGTAATCCGCGATTTAACTAGTTTTGCTATACTCTGCACTGACTGGTCCAGAAAGCTTACGCCACTCTCTCAACCAATCAGATGCAAAATTTACACCAATCACGACTTGGTCACCCGCGTTTTCCCGCGCTTTTGGGTAGTTTGCTTGTTTTGACTTTGAGTTCCAATTGGCTGGTCAAGGTATGTGCCTCCCTTCTGATTGCCCATGGTAATCGCTTTGTTTTTGATTTTACGACAATCAATAGAAACGCGCTCTAAAACTTCATAACCAGTCTACCACGACGGATCATCAAACCCCTTTTCACAAAAAGGGTCTGTTTTCAGATTTCACCTGATTTTGAATCCAGTTGAAGTAATCAGCTCTAATATCAATGGTTGCTTGTATCTCTGGAATATAAAACTGTTTAAATGGTACAATGCCACCACACTCTGCGTTAACCTAATGATCAGGTGGAAAAAAAAAAAGATATCAAAACTTCATTTCATTCAACCACACCATCATTACGTTTTACAATGAAATTTATTTCGAAAATTAAATCTGAGTGCTTAAACAACAGGATAAGTGAGACTAGCATTTCTACTATGCAACCAAAATTTTCCATGTAATGTGAAATAAAAACCACAAAATTCAGCTATCTAAAGACTTGACCCTTGTCGTGATGAAACACACTTCTCCCCTCTACATTGAGCTCTCTGCTGTCAAAGTTTTGCTGGTCGTTACTGACAAAGGGAAAATGTCTCAATCACTGTGATGAAGGAATTAGCATGAAAGCTCTTGACATGAAGATTATCTCCATGCTAAGGCACAAATGGGACAGGATTTAATTTCTAATATAAATTAGGATAAAATAACTTGGTTGACTCACCATGTTAAGCTGTTCTAAAACACTTAAACATGTAGCCAGAGCTGCTTGACGTCTAATGGCCTGAAAATATTTCACAGTCAAGATAGAGGCATATTTTGCTTGTGATAAGAATATTGATTGTCGCAACTTCTACATACACCTATTTATGGCTCTCTATCCTTGAAACTGTATGACGATGTCTAAATATTACTGGCGTCCTATACTCAGAGCTCTCAGCTCCTCAAATCTAAAGGAGTTTGTACGCATTTTTGTTTGGACAATTTTTTCTACAAAAAAAATGTTTCACTGTCCACGCTAAAATTGGCACCACGACACTCTGGCAAAGAGCAAAGAGGTGAAGAGAATTCTAAGACTCATGAAATTTGACAGGTTCGTTGGTTGGTTGGTTGGTTGTGACACTGAACCGTTTTTCAGTCCACCTCTATACCTCCATTCTCTCACCCTCTCACCTCTCACACCCATCTCAACATTACATTTCTAATCCTCAAGACTTTCTTCCTTCCTGCGCAACAATAAGTAACATAATAATTTGGATATATCAACAAAGTTGAAATGGTAAATTGGCCACCGTAACGATTACAAAAGCTGACGTTTCGAGCGTTAGCCCTTCGTCGGAGCGAATAGAGGAATTGTGGGTTGTGTGTGCTTTAAAGGCAGAAAATGGAGCTACGTTATTGGTGGGAACATGGTAACGAGAAAAACACGAATAAATATCCGACGAAGGGCTAACGTTCGAAACGTCAGCTTTCGTAATCGTTACGGTGGCCAATTTAACATTTCAATTTTGTTGATATATCCAAATTATTTCGTTACCCCCACCGACGCAGCCCCAAACAGTTTCTTTAGAAACTATCTGCCTTTATTAATAAGTAACATACGAACAAGCCTGTATGTAGTTCGTAGTCGTGTAGCAATTAAATGCTGTCCATCTATGCCTAGGAACAATTAATCGTCAAAAATGGAAAAACAATAAGCTAGCTCATGCATATAAATGAGACAGAAGCATAATTATTATGTGCGATCCTTGCGCGCAAACGCTTAATATTCATACCCAAATCCACCTGTACAGTACATATAGACATATTAAGTGAGCTTTTCGGTTAACGTATTTTTGAGCGGTACTGTGGTACTCTTCAACAAGCAAACTCATAGAATCGTGCGCCATGTTCCTCACTTGCTCTCCTCACAGGTTAATGCAGTGCTTACAGTGTAGACCTTTTTCTTACATTACTGTTGGTGTTGGTTAGTAAAGTACATGGTTTAACTTACCTCGTCATTGATAAACTTTGGAGGAGGAAAGTGTAACAAGTATTTTACACAATCTTGAAACATCTACGGAACAATTATAGCAAAATGTAAACTGTTAGCTTCAGAAAGCACAGAAAAGTTCACTGAAAAGGGAGAGAGGTTTCCAAAGTAAAATTACCAAAACCAGCTGGCCTTTAACAAATAAAGGAGTGAGTTAAATGACTGAAGTAAGTATATGTAATAGGACTACATGCTGTCCAATTTGGAAATAACTGCATAAAAACAATTCTGAGGAAAACCAAAATTGAACAAGACTGAAGGACGAGTCCAATATGGCTGTCAGAGTTTGACTTATGACTCTCAGAGATCAGTTTTTTTTTTCTAGGCACATTAAGGTTACACAGTATTGTGGTGCTCAGCTTACAATTTGGCCCCTCAATTTGCTGACAAATCATACAAGATGAAGTTAAAAAGACAAACCTTCACTGTATGAGAAAAATAGGTTGATGGTAAAGAAGACCACCATCTCCCTAAAACAATCAAAAACCAAAACAAAATGGTAAATCATATTAAACATATTTCAGAGTAGAGATAAAACTGTGACTTGACATAATTCTTCATAGGAACTAGTTCAAAGTCAATATATCCCACTGTGGTGGGGAACAGGCAACAAACGTCAATAAATCAGCTAGAGGCAATAACCTGTTTTTCACAATGGTTTTCTATATAATGGGCTTGCATGGGTCACATGATAATTCTTGTTACTGTCTGCCATGGAATTCTTATGAAGTGAGTTTGGAGAATTTGGTATTGGATCAACTAATAATCCTCTTGACTGAGAATTTTCTTGACTCTCACGACTGGTCTACTTGTACGTATTGATATTGTAAGGAAAATTTCTATCTTGATCACTTGTGGGAGTTAAAGGCTGAAGATACAACCATGTGTCCTGTGAAGGACAACTTAGAAGAAAATCATAACAATTACTTTAATCATTTTCTCAACAAACTTAACACATATACAAAGCTGAGGGGAAGGCCAAGAAACAGGAACAGGCTCCCTTACAAAAGGCCAGCCGAAAAAAAAACACTACACATACCTATATATAATTATATATAATTTTAGTATAATTTCAGAGCTGAGCAAAGAGTTTCCAGCAATCTGATTGGTCAAGCGGTTCCTTATATGATGCTATATAAACCGCTCCATGCGGTTTATATAAAATGTTAAAATAAAAAGTTAATAAATGTTACTAAAATGTTATGATTTTAGAAATTTCTCTGTTGTTCAGCTCTGAAATTATACTAAAACAATTATTCGCCTCAGGTTCGGTGAATATTGTCGAATAATCCCCTCGACTTCGTCTCGGGGATTATTCGACGATATTCACCTCGCCTTCGGCGAATAATTGTTAAATATATCCCAATTTCCTTAACCAATAAAGAGAGCTGCCCATTGCTTTCAAAAATTGTTATCTATGATGGGTTTTTGACAAAATGAAGCTTACATGGTGTGTCGCATGTTTAAATGACATCTAAAACCCAAAATGCTGACTCTTGTAATTCACTC